CCCCCACACCAGCTGGGGCGGAAGATAGGACAGTGGCTAGGCAGAGGTGTCCGCCACTGCTGTTCCATACAGTGGTACATTGGATAACACTGGGAAAGCGTACCCAGTTGGGACTGCTACGGAAGCCATATCCTGGGCATAGGAGGTATCATGTGGAATTACACATATGGACTGGCCCAGGGCAGTGCTACATATGGAAGTCCCTGCGGTAGACTCAAGCAGGTCCGGTGTTACTGCCTACCTGAGGCGAGTACACGAGAGGACACGGGCTCTACACTGAGGTTATAGAATCTCGCAAACGTGTTAGGCGTCGCCCAGCCGGCAGCTCTACAGATGTCTGCTATCGAGGCGCCCCGCGCCAATGCTCAAGAAGATGCCACTCCTCTCGTAGAGTGAGCTCTCACTCTGAGGAGGCAAGGTAACCATTGGGCCTGGTAAGCTAAGACTATAGCCTCCACTAACCAGTGGGCAAGTCTTTGTTTGGAGACAGCCTTCCCCTTCTGCTGTCCTCCGAAGCAGACAAAGAGCTGGTCTGAGGTCCTGAAGCTCTGCGTATGGTCCACGTAAACACGCAGAGTGCGAACGGGACAGAGCAGAGCGACGGCTGGGTCTGCCTCCTCTCGGGGCAGCGCTTGCAAGTTCACCACCTGATCCCTAAAAGGCGTGGTGGGAACTTTGGGCACATATGGGTCTCAGGGTCTCAGGACAACGTGAGAGTTACCCGTCCCGAATTCTAGGCACGAATCGTCGACCGAGAATGCCTGCAACCCTCTTGACCAAGGAGGGACTGTCGCGAGGAGCATCAGTTCTGGGAACCAAGTCCGACTGGGCCAGTATGGCGCTACAAATGTCGCTTTTCCACTGCATGGTACGGCTTGGTACGGTTCACTTTTGGGGGTTTTCCACTGGGTAGAGTACCTGGTACCTGGTACTTTTTTTAGAACCACCTCGGTTGGGGTTCCAAGTGAACCGTACCGTACCGTAGAGGCGGCGCAACTATAACGACATGTGAATAATCCCGCCCACTCTAAAGCGGTACTGAACTGCAGTGGAAACGCAAACCGAGACGAGCCGAACCGTGCCGTGCCGTACTGAGCCGTGTCGAGCCGAGTCGTACCACGCAGTGGAAAAGCGCCATAAGAGGACCTGCTCCTCGTCCTCCCTGACCTTGCACAGTGTCTGTGCGAGAAGGCTCACTGGGGGAAACATACTTGCGTAGGCCCCGAGGCCAGCTGTGTGCCAGCGCATCCGTGCCGAGGGTCGCCTCGAACAGGGAGTAAAACAGCTGGCAGTGGGATGTGTCCGGAGAGGCAAACAGGTCTACCATCTCCAGATCTGCTGGACTGTCTCGGGGTGGAGTCGCCATTCTCCCGAAAGGGCGGGCTGACGTGAGAGCTTGTCGGCTGCACAATTGAGCTCGCCTGGGATGTGAATGGCACGAAGCAACCTCAGATGCTTCTGGCTCCAAAGGAGGAGATGGCGGGCGAGTTGCGACATGCGACGGGAGCGTAGACCGCCCTGGTGGTTGATGTACGCAACGGTCGCAGTGTTGTCCGTCCGGACCAGTACGTGCTTGTCGTGTAGCAGCGATTTGAAGCGGCGCAGAGCAAGCCATACTGCTAGCAACTCGAGGCAATTGATATGCCACTGCAGACGAGGCCCTGTCCAGGTGCCCGATGCTGCATGCCCATTGCACATGGCACCCCAGCTTATGGCAGAGGCATCTGTTGAGACAACAACATGCCTGGACACTTGTCAACTCCTGCCCGAAGAAAGGCACGGTCTGACCACGGGCTGAAGGTCTGGTGGCAAGACGGGGTGACTGGGACCCGGTAAGTACCGCGTTGCCATGCCCATCTCGGGACTCGGTCGTGAAGCCAGTGCTGAAGCGGTCTCATATGAAGCAATCCGACGGGCTGAAAGTCTGGTGGCAGGACGGGGTGACTGAGACCCGGTAAGTGCCGCGTTGCCATGCCCATCTCGGGGCTCGGTCATGAAGCCAATGCTGAAGCAGTCTCATATGAAGCAAACCGAGCGGCGTGAATGCGGCAGCGGATGCCATATGCCCCAGGAGCCTCTGAAACTGTTTCAGTGGAACCGCCCTCCTGCGCTGGAAAGACTCCAGGCAGCTCAGCATCGACTGAGCGCGCCCTACTGTGAGGCGCACTGTCAGATTGACTGAGTCAAACTCCATACCGAGAAAAGAGATCCTCTGCACGGGGGAGAGTTTACTCTTTTCCCAGTTGACCCGAAGCCCCAACCGGCTGAGGTGACTGAGTACCACGTCCGTGTGTTCGCACAACTGCGCTCGAGACTGGGCCAGTATGAGCCAGTCATCGAGGTAGTTGAGAATGTGAATGCCTCTTTCCCTCAATGGAACAAGGGCTGCCTCCACAACCTTGGTGATGACACAAGGCGACAGGGATAGCCCAAAGGGGAGGACCTTGTACTGATATGCTCGCCCCTCGAACGTGAAGCGGAGAAACGGCCTGTCGAGGGAGGATTGAAACATGAAAGTACGCATCTTTCAGGTCGATCGCTGCAAACCAATTGAGTGGACGAATGCATTGAAAGATACGTTTCTGCATCAACATCCTGAATGGGAGCCTGTGAAGGGCCCGGTTCAGAACGCGCAGGTCCAGGATTGGTCGTAACCCACCGCCTTTCTTGGGTACAATGAAGTAGGGGCTGTAAAACCCCGACTTCATATCGGCTGGAGGGACTGGCTCTATTGCGTCCTTCACCAGTAGGTGGAGTGGGCGGAGGGACTGCAGCCGGCGGCAGGGTGATGACAGCAGCTGGCCGCCGGGGCAGGATGTGTCTGATCGTCTCCGTCTGCTTCTGTGTGGCGGAGAACTTCTGGGCGATGCTTTCCACCGCATCACCGAAGAGGCCAACCTGGGAGATCGGGGAGTCCAGGAAACAGTGTTTGTCTGCCTCCCTCATATCTGCCAGGTTCAGCCATAGATGTCGTTCCTGGACCACCAGGGTGGACATCGTCTGACCGAGGGACCACACTGTGACTTTCGTCACCCGGAGGGCGAGGTTCGTCGCTGTGCACAGTTCCTGCATTACCCCAGGGTCAGAACTGCCCTCGTGCAGCTGCTTCAACACCTTGGCCTGGTAGACCTGCAGGAGGGCCATGGCGTCCAGGGCGGAGGCAGCCTGTCCAGCAGCTCTGTAAGCCTTGGCTGTTAGAGCGGACAAGAACTTGCAGGCCCTGGACGGGAGGCGCGGATTACCCCGCCAGGCGGCGGCGCTTTGCGGGCAGAGCTGCATCGCAATAGCGCGCTCAACTGGGGGGATCTCCACATACCCCTTAGCCGCCCCGCCATCGAGAGCAGTGAGAACGGAAGAAGCACTAGCTCGGTTTCGGACAGAAAAAGGTGCCTTCCAAGATCTAGTAACTTCTTCATGCACTTCCGGAAAGAAAGGAACCGGAGGTGGCTGCCGGCGATCGGCCTGCGACACCCCCAGGAACCAATCATCCAACCTCGAGCGTTCGGGAGATGGAGGTGGTTTCCATTGCAACCCGACGCTCTCGGCGCCCCAGGAAAGCATAGCAGTCAGCTCTGGATCTGACTCGGGCAACGCTACTCTTCCTGATGGAGGCAGCGCAGCCAAGTCCTCATCTCCAGAGCCTAGCTCGTCCCCCGATGCAGTGATCGATATCCTGTCATCTGCCGGAGGCCTGAATGAGACGCTAGACTCCGCCCTGTCCGGAGTCTCAGCCACCTCATCACGGAACACCAGAGGGTGCGATGTGCTGGAGGAGTGAGGGACCCGCGGAGACGCACTCAACGGTGAAGCCCTCACTGTGATCCTCAGATTGCCCTGGCCATATGCCGAAGTAGTCCTCCGCTGTTGGGAGGAACTAGAACTCCCCCTCGTTTAATGAAGAGGAGCCTCGATCGCAACATTGCGATGGTCATGTCCCTGCAATGAGAACATGAGCCATCCACGAGCTGTGCCACAGCGTGCTCAATGCCCAGGATCAAGATGCAGCGTTCGTGACCATCAGATGGAGCCAGGAAGCGACCGCAACCAGAAACACACGAGTGGAATGCCATCTTTAAAAAGACGCCGCATCACTCGTGGAGCTCTTTTAGATTTGCTCTTTTAGATTGCTCTTTTAGAAAAAAAAAGTGAAGCGCCCAGGAGAGGTCGCAGCGTGACCACAGTTTGAGGAGCTGCAGCACGCCGTCCAACACCAACAGCAGCACTGGACCAGCAACCCCCGCTGACGCGCCGTATCACCAACACTGCGAGCTGTCTTGTAGGCACTGTGCTCGGTAACCAGACCAGCTGAAAGGCTCGGCTCCGAAGCAAAAAGCTGAATGTGTGTCTGCACGCGCTCTCCTTATATACCCGTGCTGCGGGGCGGAGTGTGCGACGCAAAGATCGCACGCCAACACTTATTGGCTTGTTTTGTTAACACTCAAAGGTGATTGGTCTCTCTAGCGAAGATCCCAATTCGTCAGTCACTACTGACGTAACGTCGAACGTGACTGACTGAAAGGGAACAGCATTTATTTGAAATACAAATGTCTTTACTGTCACTGAAAGGAATAATTTCTTTTAAAAACGAAAAATCTTGCTGACCCCCAGACACTTTTAAACAGTAGTATATGTTTGAAATAAGAAAATAAGTGAAGTATAACACTCCTCAAAAAGAAATCAGAGTCCAGAGGGGATGAGAAACAGAAGTTTCTGACCTCAAGATGTTTAATTTTAAAATTGAAACAAGCAGAAGTGGTAATAATCTAACAGTAAAATTAAAGAATGTTACTGTAAAGGCTTCAGGTTCAGTCCCAGGTAGAGTCGACCCAGCACTGGAGAGTTACTGATGGCAGTCCTACTCAATCATAATACCACCCTTGACTTGGGCATTTAACTTTCAGGCTCTGCAATTAGTCTGCTGCAAGTCACATGGATATTAAACATCTGCTAAACATTTAAGGGTTGTTGTTTTCGCTCTGTGACCGTATTTTTCACGTACTTCGAAGGGAACTCCGTTTTTCCGAATCAACTCCTGTTCGACTACATGGCAACACATTTAAATGCCCTGAAACAGCGTCTCTCTCTATGTGCAGCGTCTACGTCACGCGCTGTGACCCTCTTGCCCATGGAAGCGCGCGAGACCCAGCCGGAGCCGCCCGTTCATCGCGTGAAAACACCTTTGGAAAGAATGTCATCCAGTGATTCTCTTACAAATGGATTTATCGGTCTCCGAGAATAATTTGCATTTCGGCGGTTTTGCGGTAAGTACTGCTGATTTCGCGCAGCTCCAATGAAGCGTTGCTAACATCTGGCGCGCGCTGGCGGTGGGAATTCATCGCTGCTTGTCATTTATCGCTAGATCTCGTGCATCTCTCCTTCAGTCATTTTCAGAACTGAGCTGTAATAGACGCTGTGGTCAGTGCACAAGAAGCGGTTTGCTTTTCGATGCCTGCTTTAAATCTCATTCCATCTGCCTTTCTTGATTGCAGTGCTTAACTGTGCAGAAAATGTGCGTTTGTACTATAGTTATGCTTACATAATTGAACTGATGGCCTTGTTTAATACATAAAGCTGAATAACTTGAGCAGGTGTAGTGTCGCTTCCACCTCTAATCGACGTACCTACACCTCCCATCATCATCTCAGGTCCATCATCAGTCCCTGTATGGCGCATTTTATCCATCTGTTCATCATCTTCTAACTTGGGCAATGCACTGCATGTTGCATTAGTTAGTTGGTTTAATTAGAATAATTGATGACATGTGTTATTATGGCATCCAACAGTCCAGTATCCCACAGTTTGTGAAGTAGGCTGGTCTCCATTACGACTGATAGATGCTGTCACTGGGACTCAGGCTGGACCATCTTTTAGACACTTTTCTTTATGCATAATTGAGCATCCCTCTATGTACTTGCTCTCAGCTCCTGCTCTAATAATTCAGGCTCGACAGAATGTAGAAGAAGTCTGCATCTGTTTGGACTGTAATGGCAGTGTGGTTGCAGTTTCAGCTGCCTCATCATATTGACCAGAGTTTAGATTGAATGCAGGTTTGCTGCTGTGCACCATGCAATTGCTGCTGTGCAGTGATTTGCTTTGAGCAGTCCACAATTACAGTATGTAAAGATTGCAGGGACAATACATCATGATGCAGTAAGACGTGTTCCTCAGAGACCGAGCTGTCTTTACACTGCATTGTCATGTTATATGGTCCGAAAAAGCATCCCAGGGACATTTGTGTGTATTGAAATAACCGAGTTTCGCTATTCATTGGAAGTGAAAGAATGATCTCTCTGACAGACGTAAGTGGTGGTGGTACACAATGTCAGATGACTCTAATAAGTAACAATTTATTACTGTTTCTTGGTCCTCACGGTTAATAGGATGGTTTGCTTGTTCCCCTCCTCTCGTCTCTTCTGTATATAAACCCGGTGCTCTGACTGACAGCAGACTCCTGGTAAATCCAGTGTGAAGGTGGGTGGGGATTTTAAGGTGGGGACTTCTAAAGTGGATTTTGGATTTTATTCTTGTAAATGCCAGCACAGTGGGCTACTGCCATTTATGAAGTTTATAAGCGTTAAATCATTGGATTATGTATGGATGTGTGAGTTTTTGTGCGTGTTCACTTTTCCGTGAACCGGTTCTCTTGGATAATTAATTTCCAATGACAACAATCTTTTAATTTTTAAGAATATTTAGATCATGGAAATTAAGTATCAAAATATTAGATACCTTAAAAAACTTGAATAAATAGTAAATAAACATTTCTAACAAAAAGTGCAAAGTAACAAGTAGAAAAAAAGAAAAATGCACATAGAACTTTTATGGAGATTTTTCCATCTACAGATTTCTCCCTGACCTTCTTTTCTCTGTAAACTAAGGGTGCATTGCTGAAAAACACAATCACTACTTATCAGTCAGATGTCCGCATGCACAAAGGCACAGATCCCTAAACAAGGCCATATCTGCAGATTAAACATTTGTAGAAGCATTTTTAAAATTTGAACCTCATGACTACACCACATTATGTACGAGAAGCTGCAAAAGGCTCAGGTGCAAGTGGAATGTAAAAAACACGTTGACATATATATTGCGATATATTGCTTCACCAAAAATTATTGAGGTCATGTACATATATTGTGCGATAAGTCGATATATTGATTATTGTGACAGGCCTAGTGTGTACTGGTATATATGGTTTATGGGGACACAAATGTGTATAATGACATGAGTACTACAACATAAACATGGTTCATGAGGACACTTCCTGTGTCCCCGTAAAACAACAGGCTTAAAAAACATTTCGAAACGATTTGATAATGGAGTATATCAATTGATTTATCGATATTATGATGTCATGGACCTATTTTAAACAACCATCTACATTTGTATTAACTTACAAATGCAACCAAAATAAATAACACGAACATTTATGTGAAATTTGCACTTCCTGTACCTCAATTGGGACATTCACAACAAAAAATAGGCCTACACTTTTTTTTAATATATAT